AAAAAAAAAAAAAAAAAAAAAGAAAGTAATTAAGTTAAATAAGGTGGGTCCCATATCTGGTAGAATTAGTGTCCTTGTAAGAAGAGACACCAGACACTTTGGGAGGCCGAGGTTAAAGGATCAGTTGAGGCCAGGAGTTCAAGACCAGCCTGGCCAACATGAGGAAACCCCCTCTCTACTAAAATTACAAAAAATTAGCGGGGCGTGGTGGTGCATGTTTGTAATCCCAGCTACTCCAGGTGTTCCAGAGGTTGAGGCACAAGAATCACTTGAACCCTGGAGGCAGAGATTGCAGTGAGCCAAGATCATGCCACTGCACTCCAGCCTGGGGGACGGAGCCAGACTCTGTCTCAAAAAGAAAAAAAAAAAAATACCAGAGAGTTTGCTCATGCATGCTCTCTTTCTCTCTCTCTGTGTGTGTGTGTGTGTGTGTGTGTGTGTGTGTGTGTGTGTCTGTTGCCCCCTGCTCCTCCCTCACACTTTGCCCCTCTATCCATGCGCATGTGCTAAGGAAAGGCTATGAGAAGACACAGTGAGAAGGTGGCAAGCCAGGAAGAGAGCCTTCACCAGAAACCAACTCTGCCAAACCTTGATCTGAGGTTTCTATCCTCCAGAATTATATGAAATAAATTTCTGTTGTTGAAGCTACCCAATCTGTAGCATTTTGTTATGGCAGCCTGAGCTACTAGCACAGTTAGTAAATGTGGAAGGAGGATGCTGGGTAGGCTTGTCACACCTCTGTCCTTCCTTCTGGATCTAGGTGCCCACAGAAGCTGGTTCTCCTCCAGGGGGGATCGTCCCTCCAGCGGGGGAGGAGGTTGAACATTGCCTGTGATTGATAGGTAAGTCCACCTCACTCTTCAGCTCCATCAGCAGCCCACTTATCTTTCACACATACTGACATCTGCTGATTTTGTTACTGTTAGTATAAAAGGTGATATTTTGGCCTCTATCTGACTTGCTCTTCATTTTCTTTCCCAATTTTGTTACCACCAGGGTGGTCAAGAAGGACTGCTATTTGTTGAGCCCACTCTAGACCCCATGTACACATGAATTACAATACAAAACAAAATGGATTACAATACAAAATGTGAAAAACATCTAGAATATAATACTCTTGAAATTCAGAAGGCCTTTGGGTCATGATTCTCTTTATCATCATATTAGGATCAAGCTTAAGCTCTGTTGGCCTTCTAAAAACAAGTAAGTTTTTTGTTTTGTTTTGCTTTTTGAGACAGAGTCTCGCACTGTCGCTCAGGCCAGAGTGCAGTGGCGCGATCTTGGCTCACAGCAACCTCCGCCTCCTGGGTTCATGAGATTCTCCTGCCTCAGCCTCCTGAGTAGCTGGGATTACAGGTGCACACCACCACACCCGGCTAATTTTTTGTATTTTTAGTAGAGACAGGGTTTCACTACATTGACCAGACTGGTCTTGAACTCCTGACCACGTGATCTGCCCACCTCAGCCTCCCAAAGTGCTGGGATTATAGGCGTGAGCCACTGTGCCCAGCCAAATAAGTCTTTTTTTAATGCCATATGGAATATTATTATCATTTATCTTTATAATAAATTTCAAATATAGAATGTTCCTCTAAAAGTGAATTAAAACTAAATGGAAATAGACTACAGTAAAAACAAATCAAAGTCAGGAGCCATTATGATGAACCTTCCATGCTCTTGCTTTCAAAAACTCATCCCATTATGCTAAAACATAACAACAATCAAAAGCTTGCATCTTCACACAAAAATATTTGAGTATTGTTCTGAGTAACACTGATGAGTACACTTTTTAAAAAATCATTTAAAGAGAGAAAGATTTCCTCTCTAGAATTTTCAAGAATCTTTATTTCCTTTTGGAGGCTACTCAATAATTTAAATTAATATTCATGTCAGAATGCATCCCTGCCATAACTACTTGCTTTCATAATTATACACAAAACAGGTTTAGAAAAACCTTGCTAAGGTGTCTTCTTTAAAAAGGAGGAAAAGAAAATAATTTGGGCAGTATTGAAGTAAAGTAAAAAGAAAACTGGACGGAGACACCTGGTCATTAACTCAAGTTCTGCATAGTTAACTAGCTGCATGATTTTAGATTTAGTCTTATTTTCCCTACCAGGAAAATGAGGGATAGCCCAAATGAAATAATATGTCACTGTACCTATGACGTGTGAGCATATTTCACTGCCTGGTATATAGGAATAGGCACACAGAATTTTTATTAACACCACATTTAAAAGCTAAATGCAAAGCTTTTCAGATTCCAGGCTTCTGAAGACAGTGGGATATGTTAGATTTAACAGCCTCTTTCTACTATTTTCTATAAGCTTCCATTCCTTTTTTGGTTCTTTATAGGGTGAGACTGTGTCTAATGAAACTAAATTCTCAATCTGCACACCCCTATTACAAAGATAAACATAAGAAGACATAACTGAAATTTTAATAAAATTTATAAGAAATTATTTACCTTCATCAACAGAATCTGAAGTGCTGCTTTTGTCCAGAGAAAGATACTCATTTTTATTCAAGTCCAGTGACTTCGATGGCACTCTAGTTAACTTCTTTTCCAAAGCTGGTAAGAGACTCTTTTTGGTCTGTTTTTCATTTTGGGACTCCTCTTTGCCTAATCCCTAAAAGGTAAACAATCCAGTTTCAAAATAAAAAACAGATTTAGCTTAGATTTTGCAGTGACAACTTTAATATTAAACATACTTTGAAATATTGTGCTTTGAAAAATATTTACAGCATTTTGTTTGTTACACTCGCATCACATTTCCAATGCTTTTAAATGTTGGTCCGTAAAATATGAGTAAATAATATACACCATTCTAAAGTCATCCTACACAATAATAAACAAGTTTATGAAAAACATCATAGAAAAAGAGCTTCACAGATCACGTAAGTCACTTATGCAGAAGGAAAAGGGGACAAAGGACAAAAACAATCGAACAATCCATTCTTCAGGGTAGACAAGGGAGAAGAACCAAACCCAGCTAGCTTCCCCAGTCAATGCCTGCCCCATCATCTCAAGGAAGAAAACTCACCCATCTCTCAAGACCTAACGGGGAAATGGAAAGAAAATGGAGAGATAAAAAGTCACATATGAGTACAGTGGGAGAGAGAAGATTAAAACAAATTAATTTCATAGCAAACTCATAAAAACACAATTGGCTTTGCTGCAATGGGACTAAGACATTAGGCATTAAGATGTATTTAATATACGATGCTATCTATACTTTCTGGGATGGTTACAATAAATTTAATGTTAGGCATTAAAGTATGATGCTATTGCTATGTTAGTATTCAAGTAAAATAGTACTGTATTATAATCAGACTTAGTGGAATAGTACAAAAAGTCTATATAAACTATACACAGAATATTTTCTTGCATTTTCTCTATGTACACAGATGAAAGAGAGCACTTTACTTCCTGTCCCATGAGACCCCTGAGAAGCACTAAGTAGCAGAATCAGCTCCAGGGAGGATACAGGTTTCCAATGGCCACCCAGATAGCAGAAAAACAACTGGGGCCCAGGACACAATTTATTAAAGGATTATATTACCCTAGTCAGAAGATTGATTCTTCAAGCAGAGATTATTGCTAAAATCAAGACTTGATTTATTTGGGAGTTCCACACTACAAAGCAACATGTCTATTTAGCTAAACCAAGGACCCCTTAACAGATGCTAAGTAAAGTACACTTCTCTATAGCTCCACACTTACGCTTCTCCTCTTGTTGCTAATTAAGTTCTATTTCCTACTATAAAGAATATAGAGAGATGTTTATAGGAAAAGTAAGAGTCACTGTCTTTCAGTGGTTGGTATCTGGATGACTTTTATTTATTTGTATACTCTACTGTATTTCATGAAGTTTTACAAAGAGTATTAATTTTATAACTTAAAAACATATTTTCTTGGAAAAAAGTTATTCTTGACTTTTTGTTATTTCCAACTTTGTTAGAAATGAAAATGAGGCAAAGCAAGTGACATACGATACTTGTAGATATCTGAGAATCTCATCACATGGCTCTTGAATGCAAACAGAAAAAAAATGGCTAAACTTCTATACTACTTGTATTCTATAACCTGAAAACATCTATACTGAACACCAATGAATGTATGATCGATCTTAAAGCATGAAGTTATTCACTTCCCTTGCACCAGTAGTAAGTCACTAAGGGTCTCTAGATGAGTAAGTTTTGCAAGAAACCCATAACACAAAACCAGGCTGAGGTAGATGCATGACTGGTCAAAACAAGTTGGTAACATGCTGGCCTTCCACATAAATATCTTTTCATTCAATGTTTTCCCAACATTTACTCAGAGGAGATACTGGAAGTTCCTTGGGGGAGGGTGGAAAAGGATCATTACTGATCACAGGCAGATTCACCTTCAATTATAACAGCTTACGGTTATTGGATATTTAATGTGTGCTAGGAACTATTCTAAGTACAGTCATGCATTGCTTTGATGACAGGGATACATTATGAGAAATGTATCATTAGGCGATTTTATTGTTGTGCCATTGTCATAGAGTGTACCTAACAAATTTAGATGGCATAGCTTACTACACACCTAGGCTATATGGTATAGTTTATTGCTCCTGGTCTATAAACCTGGATAGCATGTTACTCTACTGAATACTGTAGGCAATGTAACATGGTGGGAAGTACTTGTGTATCTAAACATATGTAAACATAGCAAAAGTACAGTAAAAACATGGTATAAAAGATTTAGAAAATGGTACACCTGTTTGTACCATGAATGCAGCTTACAGGACTGAGTTCTGTTGTTCTGGGTGAGTCAGTGAGTGAGTAGTGAGTGAATGTGAAGGCCTGGGACATTACTGAACACTACAGCAGACTTTATAAACATTGTACACTTAGGCTACAATATGTTTACAAAA